AAAGTCACTCTGCATTTTTATTTCCTTAGATAAGGAATATGAGTCTCCTGGTAGAGCAGCTTGAGACGCTAGACAAAAACAACGTCCTGGCCATTCGCCGGGAAATCCTGGCTCTGAAGAACAGGCTAAAGGAATGTGAAGCCTCTAAAGGTGAAAATGTTCCTGCCACCCCGCCTCCTCCTGCCCCTGGTAAGCATGTTTTCCCCACCCGAGCCAGGCCCGGTTAGGAGTGGAGAGTGGGGCGGAGAAGGGATTTGGAACTGCCTTGTGGAAGCGGGGATTGGATTTTGGCAACGACTTTGGTCTTCCGTGCTCTGAGATCTCTCTCCTAGCAGCTCCACATGCTGGCACGTTCTAGGGCTCATAGAGGAGAAGCACCAGCAATGAGTTGATTTAAAACAAAACCCACACGTTACACATGTCCTCTTTGCATTTGCTAACAAGGAAAACATCTCTGTGGTGATGGAGTTGTTGTTGGGGGCGGGGTTGGGGGGGCTGGTGAAAACCTCTAGAATCTGCACGGTGTAGGCGCTGTCTCCTGGGTTGCAAGAGCTGATTGGCTCATGTATCCGATGAGCTGGGTTATGCCTTGAACCTTCCTTTCCTCTTTTTTCTGTCCCTGCTTCCACCTCTGTATTTTTCCTTTACACTTTCCTTAAATGCACTTGCTGGGTTTTTTTGTTTTGTTTGTTTGTTTTTTTAGCGCCTTTGAGGATTCAGGGAGGATTTAATGGTCCACATGTACATTACTTGTGGGCGTTGCCTGCCTTCAGCCTGCTCTGTGAGTTCCTGGAGGGCACCGATGGCCTTCTACTCTCTAATGATAATCCCTGGGGCCAGGTATAGCAGAGAGTTGGGGGCTCCATAATACCTCTGTGAATGGAGGCAGGGGGGCGTAGAGGTCAGGAGTATAGCTTTGGGACCCCAAAGACCTGAGCTTCCCAGCTATGTGGCCACGGCAAAAGATCCTTCATCTCCCCCTTGATAAAACAGGAGAATGCTACTTACCTTGCAGTGTTGCCATGTGGGTTAAACAAGTCTTGGGAAGCACAGCACTCTATGATTGGCACTTACATGCGGAATTTGTTATTATTAATCATGATAATTGAAGTGAAAACCTTGCTGTGAACAAAAGCGGTCCTTGTGTGTTTCAGCGCGGCCCTCCCGGTGAACTAAAGCCCGCCTCTGTCTCCGTGTGCAGCCCTGTCACAGGGAAGCCCTCCCTGCGGGTCGTGAGCCCCTCAGCCTGAAAAGGGCCTGTACCTTCTCATCAAATCGTAGAGCTCTTGTTACTTTCATTAAGTTCTATTTCCATAAACTGTTTCCTCTTAGACTGTGTTTCTGGATCTTTGTCGATGTAACTGGCTTCTTTCAGGCTTTAATTAGATACTGCCGTAGTTATAAACCTCTGGGAGGTGTTCAGGAGACGCTCTTCCCTCCCTCTGCTGTTGGCAACCTGTCATAGTATGACATACAGAGGAAGTTCAGGACAAAGGCCATGCCTTGTCCTTTGGAACAAACTAAGGTTAAATTTAGTCTGAGATCAGCGGTGTCAATGTGCACTGAAAATGTGAGCTTTCTGCTGGGTCACGCAGGGCTCCTTGAGGACAGGGGTCAAAGCAATGACAAGCCCTGATGACACCTGAGCAAGGTTTTCTTTCTTTCTTCCTCCCTCCCTCCCTCCTTCCTACCTTCTTGCTTCCTTCCTTCCTTCCTTCCTTCCTTCCTTCCTTCCTTCCTTCCTTCCTTCCTTCCTTCCTTCAAGTGAGGACATTTTAGAACTGGAAGGGACACTTAGGGCCATCTAGCTCAGGTCCATCATGTCTCAGAGGAGGAACTCAGGTGGTGAGGGCAAGGCCACACGGGTGGCTAGTGGCCGGGCTGAGGCTGAAATGCAAGGCCTCTCACTCCCTGGGTGAGTAGGGAGTAGCTCTAAGTAGGACCTAGAGTGTCAGATGGCAGTGACCCAAGAATTGGCAGTGGGAGAGAAAGTACACTTCTTAGTATATCTAAGGAGGAAAACAAGTGAGTCTCTTGGATTATTTTAGTTAGACATTTTTTTTGAGAACTTTCCCCTAGGTCCTCACACTCAGACTTTTGTGAGTCATCCCAGCCCAGCTGTGTTGTTTAAGCAAATTGGACCCAGATTTCCTCTCACTCTCCCACAACCTTGGCTGTATCTGGATCCCGGCCAAGCCACCTGGCCCTCCTCCAGCTTTGTTCATATTATATTTATGATGTTTATATTAAACTGACTTTTTGTCATGTTTTTAAATCAATTTCTTTTACTTGCTCTCTTTCTGTTTGGATTGGTTGATAATGCAGAATTGGAAACTCCCCAGGCACCACAAAGTTGCGAGCCTGTGGAGACTTTAATTAAAGTTACTTACTATTATGGGACTTTAAAATCTGGCCTGTCTGCTTTTTTTCACTGCGGAGTTGCACAGAACAAAAGACTGCAGGCAAGTCTCAGCTATAAAGGAATTCTGTGGTCTTGGGGCCCCTCTCTTGCATTTGCAGATTGCTGTGTGTGGTCAGCTTGATCTTAGAGCCAGTGTATGTAGTGAGGGTTCAAGAACGCGTGCTTCATAGTTGGTTTATGCTGCAAACAACATCCTTTTCTGCTTCATCTCATAGAACCTTCTAATCTAAAATAATTGCCCTTCTGCTCCTTAACCTTTTTTTCCTGAAAACAACTGACTCTCTCTCTGATCTCGCCCTGAATCTAGATGACTGGAGACAGGCAAAATGTACGTACACCCCAGGGGTCGAACTCTGTTATGTTTGGAGATGATGTTAGATTCTGTGCTGACACACAGTAGGTGCTCAGTAAATGGCTGATGAAAGCTATGGGGTGACCTGCCAAAATCCCAAGCCTTAGGAAAAGCAGAGTGTTGGGGAGTATAGATTCAGTAATTCAGAATCAATTTAGTCTTCATCATTTTGTGATTATGATCAGGTTAATTGCCCGATTCTCCCAAATGAATTGTATTCTCCTCTTTGCTCAGAGTGCAGTTGTCTGGGTAGGAGACTGCACTGATAGATCCAAAATTCAGTTTCCTCTGCATATAGCCTTTGACTTAAGAAAAATGCTACTAACTGTGAGACTTTAAAAACGACAACTTAGGGGATGCCTGGGTGTCTCAGTCAGTTAAGCGTCTGACTCTTGATTTTGGCTCAGATCATGATCTTATGGTTTATGAGATAGAGCCCTGAGTCAAGCTCTGCAATGACAGTGCAGAGCCTGCTTGTGATTCTCTCTCTCTCTCTCTCTCTCTCTCTCTCCCCCTCTCCCTCTCTCTCTCTCCCTCTCTCTCTTTCTGCCCCTGCCTCACTCATGCTGTTTCTCTCTCTCAAAATAAATAAAAAGCATTTTAAAAATCTTAAAGAAATAAAAATTTAAAAAGGCCAATTTAGGGTATGTTAAAATCTTATTTCAGAATATCACGGCAAGATCTAATGAACTGCATTAGAATCTTGGTTAGATTGCCAACCGAGGCAACACTTGTGTGGAGGATTCCTTGCTTTATGTTCTGCTGAGTGAATCCCAGACTTTTTGTAAAACTGAGCTATGGAGCAGGGTAGAGTGCAGTTGTTTTATAAAGAAGGTAAGCTGGGTTTGGGGGATTTGATCATTCGTTCATTCTTCTATTCTAGGAACATAACTTGGTGCGACGGCCTGGCTGGTCCTGTTCTGGGAGCTGGGGTTCCCAGGATGGATACAGGAACCTCCAGAACCCACTATGTAGGAAGGGAGACATCATGTGAGCTTTCAGCTATAACATGATGTGATTATAATGCTGATAGGTATAATTTGTTGAGTTACATGCACATACCTTCTCTCTCTTCTTAGCAGTTGTACAGAGTAGGTATTATTATTATTATTTTTTTTAACACAAAGAAACTAAAGCTCAGAAGGTTACCCAGCCAGTAAGTACTGGAGTTGGGACTTGAATTGGAGTCTGTCTGCTAGTATCTTCCCTGTACCAGGCTGCCTTCCGTAGATGCTCTGGTAGAGAGGTGCACTTATGATTCCCACAGTACCGAGAACATTCCAACAACTCACCAACACGAATAACAGCACTTTAGCTCTACTTCCTTGCTTGTGGAATCGCTAAAAGTGTACTGTTACTCATAGTTCTGTGGCATGTTCTTTTGCACTAGAAAAATGCGAAACAATTCATTGGACTTTCACACTCTTGGATTCTGGCTAAGTGAGGGGTGGTTGTGCTTGTGGCAGGGTGTAAACTTGGGATGGCTAAGTAGGGAATGGGGTAGCCCTAAGACCCTGACATGAAGGAAGGGGCTGGGAAGGGGTATGATGTAAGGGAGGGTTGGGGGAAGCTTGGCATAGATGGGATGAGGAGGGATGGAGGCTCTGGCTGGGCCAAAGGGGCAGTGGGCACCAGGCTGGCTCTCAGTTTCAGTACCCTTTCCAGGACGATTTGCTGCCCGCCAGGGAAGCCTGCCATAGCCTTTTCTCTGGTCTGTCACTGCTGTGGCCACATCTGTAGTATTGGCAACAGTGCTTAGTTCTCTTCCCTATTTCTGCTTCCTCTGACCACGGCTAGGGCCCTAAATGTGGCCCAAAGGACATTGAGGATAAGAGGGGTATAACAAAAAAAGGTAGGAGAATGTTTAGGAGTGGTTGGGCAGTGAGAAAAAGAGATTTAGGCTTCATACAATTTTGATATTTATACCAGGTACAATTTTTAATTTCCTGGTCAACTTGTAAAATGATAAGCTATTAGTAGTAGTAATAGTAGTAGTAGTAGTAGTAGTAGTAGTAGTATTTTTTTTTGGAGAGAGAGAGAGAGAGAGAGTGAACAGGGGAGGGTCAGAGAGAGAGGGAGATACAGAATGTGAAGCAGCCTCCAGGCTCTGAACTAACTGTCAGCACAGAGCCCAATGTGGGGCTCGAACTCACGAACCGTGTGATCATGCTCTGAGCTGAAGTCGGACGCTTAACCCACTGAGCCACCCAGGCACGCCAGTAGTAGTAACTTTTAAGAGAAGTTTATTTTGATTCATTTATATCTAAGGATTTCCACATCCAGGACAGACACTATTATCTTTAACCCCATGATAGTGCTTGAATAAGATCAGACATAAGTTTTCCTTAAGTATTTTGTTACTCTTCATTTGGGATATTTTCTTTCCAGGAAAGCAAGATTCAGTTAAGCAAACAATTCCGAAGTCTTCCAACCTGCAAGAAAAACGTGACTTTCTTTCATTGCCTTAGAGTGAAATGTAGTTAAATAAATAAGTTCTTGGGAAGAATATTTTAACTAGAAAATCCAGTTTGTAGCATATGGAAACTCAAACAGTTTTTGTTATCATTAAACTGAACACACCACTAACTTTATTTTAATAATTCATGCATTGTTTCATAAACAAAAGCAAACAAGCATTCATCTGAGAGATCACTTTTAGGAGAAGAAATAATAATTTATAATTTTATTTATTATTTCTTTGGTGGAGAGCAGTCTCTTGGCTGAACACACGTTGCTTTTTTTATTTATGAAATGGTGCATGCATTATTAAAATAAACCAGCGACTGTGTTCTGCTTAATGATATGCAAAATTATTTGAGGTTGGGTACAGAATGGTCTCATTTCTCTACCTGTTGTATGGTTGGCTGGTTTTCCCACCAACTGCGGATTTATGAGAGCATTTAAGGAGCACGTATTTAATTCTGGGACCAAAAAGCCCCAGCAGATTGGAAAAATAAAAGCAGGGTTTCTAGTAATGGTTTCACCTCTGAGCAGTCCTTGAGTGAGGAGGGGGAGAGGGGGGGACATTTAGCAAGGAAAGGAATGGGTCTTTCCATATCAGTCAGAGGCACAGACTTACAGGCAGAGCTTTGCTCTCTCGTAACCAACCTCTTGCCCCCCATGATAAATCAGGCAATTCTTTGGAGCTCTGTTTTTGGCTCTAGCCCCCATCATGTGCTCTCCACGGCTCCCTGATTCCCTCTAAGCATTCAAACCCAGATCAAATGATTCAGGTTCTGTTCCTCCTTCCCTCACCTGCTCAGCTCCAGGCAGTAGGATGAGGGAAAATGACCTCAAATGTACTTGAAGTGGAATTTTCTTTGTCATCCAATAAACAATGTTACCCATTTTTAAAGAGGTATTTACTAAGATTCCCCAAAATGTATGTTCAACTCTGGATAGTTATTATAAAAATCCTGGAGGAGTTTTATGTTATTTCTGTAGCACGTAGATGATTTGGGTGGGCGGGCATTTCAGAATGTGACATGCAGGGCCAGTTGTCCGGCCTGGGTTGTTCACTGGTGGTACAGGGAAGGTAGATTCAGTGGACCGACGAGTCTGGTCCCACTTGATTGTACATGGTGTTGTGACGACAGTGTCAGATTGAGGAAGGTGAAGGTCTTGCCTGTCATTCTATGGCCCAGTAGAATATGTGGTACAAACAGCAAGACCTACCTTACAACTGCAGCAAGATGGTCACCAAGTGATCTACATAATGGGCTATGCTTTGGGCACAGATCAGGCTCTATTGCCCTAAAATAACTTACGTGGTTTCTCTAGGCTAAAACCCCACCATTAGAGGACCATCTCTTTGTATCTCTCAAATATCATGTTTAAAACTTCTGAGATTGGGTTGGGGCAGCATTGGTACCTGGCGTGGATATGCACTTGGGGCTCCAGGGAGGGGCAGAAGGGTGAAGGGCATGAACACTTGTTCAGGGCAGTCTCCTCCTTCATCACAGTTGTTCCTCATCCTGGTAAATAGCACCTTATGGCTTTATGGAAAAAGGGTAGGATCTAGGATGACCTTGCTTTTTTGATTTCTCTAGAAGAAAAATAAAATCTAAAAAAAATTGCAAAATGGTTTCTGGTAGAAGAAAATCTGTCAAATCCACCAAGTCTTCCTTTCCTCTCTCGAGGCCCTCAAACCTTTTTAATATGGCTCTTGGCAGTTTTAGCATCCCCATTTCTGGAATGAAAGCCCATTCATGGAAATAGGAGGTGGTTTTCTCTAGAGCTGACAGTAGGTTTGCATTGAGATTGGCACTAAAAGAAGGTTTTGGTTCTTCTCCATCAGAACCACTGCTGTCACTGAACCTTGACAAGAAAAATATTTATGGCTTCCTTGGTTCTTAGGATATTAAACCATTTGCATCTCATCATTCACTTTTCTCTAAGAATGCCCTTGTATGTTCTTGTTTGTACAGGGAGCTGTGGCCATGGTGGTGTGGTGAATATCAGCAAGCCGGCTGTAGTTCAGCTCAACTGGAGAGGGTTTTCCTATAAGTATGGTGCCTGGGGTCGGGATTACTCTCCCCAGCAACCAAATGGAGGGCTGTATTGGGTGGCACCTCTGAATACAGATGGAAGAGTTCTGGAATATTACAGACTCCACAATACACTGGATGATTTGCTGTTATATATAAATGCCCGAGAATTTCGGGTTACCTATGGCCAAGGTGGTGGTACAGCAGTTTATAACAACTACATGTATGTCAACTGGTACAACACCCGGAATATTGCCAAAATTAACCTGAGTAACAACAGGGTTGAAGTGACTCAAACTCTCCCTGATGCGGCCTATAATAACCGCTTTTCATATGCTAATGTTGGTTGGCAAGATATTGACTTGGCTGTGGATGAGACTGGGTTGTGGGTGATTTATTCAACTGAAGCCAGCACTGGTAACATGGTGATTAGTAAACTCAATGACACCACACTCACGGTGCTAAACACTTGGCATACCAGGCAGTATAAACCATCGGTTTCTAACGCCTTCATGATATGTGGGGTTCTGTATGCCACTCGCACTCTGAACACCAAAACAGAAGAGATTTTCTACTACTATGATACAAATACAAGGAGAGAGGGCAGACTAGACATTGTAATGACTAAGATGCAGGAAAGAGTGCAGAGCATTAACTACCACCCTTTTGACCGGAAACTTTTTGTCTATAATGATGGTTACCTTCTGAATTATGATCTGGTCTTTAACAAGGAACCCAAGTAAATGTGATAGAATGAGAGAGAAAGAAAATATTCCTTGGAAAAAATGGTCTTTTCCACTTATTTAGCTATCTGCAGGGGGATTTGGAAGTGTGTTTGCTTAGTAGTGATATTTTGGAGCATAGTTCTATCACGCTGAAGACTTAGGATATTTGCCTTGATTTGGTAAGTTCTTTGGAAGCCAACTGCCTCCAGAGAATGCATTTCCTTAGTGAAAATAAGGTCCTTCAAGGGTAGATGGGATTGTGAGGGTCTAGGGGCATTATAGGTTCAAGGAAGGTGTCAGTGAGACAGCTCTGGAAATCAAGGAACTTAAAGAGAACTCTGTGCCTTTTGGGGATTCTTTGTAAGCTGGGTCTCAATGACCAGTTCTCCTCCATGTAGCCAGGCTAATTCATCCATGCCTGAAGGAAACCTGGGCTCAGTTAGGCAGATTAATACCTGAAGCTCCTTGAGGGATCAAATTGCCATCTTTGGTTTCTGTTACTAGCACCTGAACAATGTTTTATATGCAGCAGATTAGTAAACTTAGCCTGCTTGTATTATATCTGTAAGATGCTCAGGGTTTTCTAGAGAGAGGCTCTTTTATGTGTTAAATTATGCACTGTAAACAGTGCTGATGAGGGATTTGATTTGTCTTTTATCCCTCTGTCTACCTATAGAAGAGTCAGTAGAACCCTCCTACCTCATAAACCCATTCCAAAGGCACCACAGAAGATTAGAACCAGACTCACCGACTAATTCCCTCCACCCATTTCCTACCTCCTGCTTTTTATGAAAATTAACCCATTTTTTATGGAATGAGTATAAGAAAAACAAAATTACATTTTTTGTCTCATCACGAAATTTCACTTACATGACTCCAGGACTGTAAGAAGAACAGATGGCAGTGATAAAATAATACCGTATCTGGTTACATGACAAAGCCCTTGGAGCATATGTGACATTTGTATTAAGTCATATCAGTTGTTTCATGCAAGTGTTGTCTTTGTTAATCCTGAAAGTTATAAGAAAATAAATTTATTTTTGAGGAAGAAATATTTTTTCTTGAAATTGAAAATATCTAGTAAGTCAGTGTAGTTTGAAAACCTAGCAGGTGTGTGTGCTTCTGTGCTTTTGGACGGCTTTCTCATCTGGTCTTGGCCTGTTTCCCCTTGATGTTCATGAGTCCCAGTCTCTTGGACTGGCTCTTTAAATGCTGTAACCATCCCCTTTTAATAAATGATTAAAGTGTGTTTTGATATAAATGTTGTCTTTTGTTCTTTTTTTTAAACTCTTTTATTTTTATTATAAAAAGCCTCTTAGTAGGGTGGCCTCCACCTTGCTTGTGAGGTACAGAGTATGGCTACCTCCCAAACACCAATGCCCAGGAGATCATCCACCTAACAGCAGATAACATCAAGAGCTTTTAGAAGAGTCCAAAGTCAGGGCTGGCTCTTTCATTTTCATTTCCCTTTAAAATCCATTCTTTCTGGCAGCTTTTGTTGTATGAGACTGCACTCTTTTCTTTTGGGATATGACCTTATGTACTTATTAATTTGCATGACTGATCTGATTATTTCCAATGTTAGACTATATTTGTGTGGCTTATTTTCCTTTTCCAACTGAACTGTTAAAATGGGTCAGAAGCTTCCCGATCTTCTCTAACCAGAAGGTCTTGGCCAGAAAGCAAAGGGACTAACTGGCCATGTTGGAGAAAGAAATACCTTTACCAAAGACGTATAGGGGAACAGGTGACCTAGATCTGGAAGGGAAGATAGACCTGGCTAGTGTAGTTAGTCTTACTGAAATGCTCATTTTTAATACATGCCATCCTTTTTTTTTTTTTTTTTTTTTTTTTTGGAGGCAGGTGGTAGCTACGATATTTAGTATTTTTAGCAATGTGATTCTGTATTTTTCAGGTTGAGCGCAGAGACAGGTATGGCCTTCAAAATGCAACAAGATGTGCAGTTAAAGACGGGGATCTCATGTAAGATATAAGTTAAAAAACAGTGATGCTATATTAATCTGGCTGGGGGCAATTTTCCAGATGAATTTTCTACCATATCCATAGTATGACCTCTGAAGGTCCGGAAAAGAAGGCAGGAAGCCAAGGGAAGTCTAGCAATCAGCTTCTTATTTAAATGGCTATGGAAGCATTTGCCTGACATTTCCCTTCAGAACCTTCTTCCCTCTGAGTGTGGTGTTTCAGGCTGCAAGAGGCTGCCTGCTGGAAGTCTCCCTACTGGGAAGGTTGAACAACTAACTGAAGGATTCTGGTTCTGGAGTTCATTGCAATATAGCTACACAGTGGAAACTTTAGCTCAGGATTCATCACCTAGTGCCCTTTGGGGGAAAACACTGGGTGCATATATTTAAATCAGCTTTATTGAGATGTAATTTACCTGAGGTAAAATATCCAATTTTTTAAAGTTTATGTATTTATTTTGAGAGAGAGAGCGCAAGTGGGGGAGGAACAGAAAGAGAGAGAGAATCCCAAGCAGACTCCACACTGTCATCACAGAGCCTGACATGGGGCTCGAACTCATGAACTGTGAAATCATAATCTGAGCTGAAATCAAGAGTCAGACACTTCACCATTGAGCCACACAGGTGTCCCAAATCTGCCAACTTTAAGTGTACACTCAAATGACTTTTGGCAAACACACACACTTGCATAAAAGGCTGCCACAATTAGGATGTAAGACATTTCCATCACCTCCCCAAAGTGCTCTTGTGCCCTTCTGTAGTCAGACCCCACCCTCACCTCTTAGTGCCTGCCAACCACTGATCTCTTTTCTATCTCTATGGAATCATACAATATGTAGCTTTTTGAGTCTGGCTTCTTTAGGTTGAAAAAGAGAACTTGTGGACTGAAATTACCCCAGGGGGTAACTCAGCATTGCTCTCAGGGTTCCCTACATTTTTATTATTTTGGGGAGAGCTGTGATGACCTCCTTCCTTCTACATGGTCCCCCTTGGCCTGAAATTGCCATGGGAAGGACCTAGCTCTGGGTGTCAATCAAACCTACCTAGCTGGCAGCCATGCCCCAAACCTAAAACTTCTTTGTCCTCAGCCTTAGTCAACATTTGTTGACTCTACCCTTGACCTGCAAGCATCTCTACCCAGATGAGTCCTGATCCTTATTAAAGATGCACATGGGTAAGAGCACAAGATTTGGAGTCGAGCAAAACGGTGACTTGGTTCTGCTGCTTACAGGTGGTATGGCTTTGGGCAGTTTCCTTAATTTTTCAGACTCAGTGTCATTCTCTGTATAATGGAATAAAACCACCTACCTCAGGATCCTGTTGGGTGAATTAGATGATAGTAAATATAGAAAGTGTTCAACACAGTTTTCGGCACATGTTCTACCCTCAACAAAGAGTTGTTATCCTTGTTTCTCATTCTGAAATTTAGGTCATTGGGTCATTGGGTTGATGAGATACAAAGCTCCTTGGGGTCAGAGTTTACATCTTCTCCTCTACAAGACTTGTTGTGAGTAGGACCTCTTCAAGCAGGTGCCATTTTTCTTATGAGAGTTCTAAAGGCGGGAGCACTCTCTCTCTGTCCTCAACTCCATGAGTTTACCTCAGAGCCGATGTTTGTTGCGTTCTGACATCAAAACACAGGTTGGCACCAGCAGGAGGACCTGAGGCCCCTTTCCCTTTCTTTTGAGGCCCTGAAAACCTCAGTGAAGGCTAGCTTTCATCAGGGGTGGGACAAAATAGATGCACGCATTCTGCCACTTGCTTTGTTGTAGTCAACAAGGACATCATCTTCTCAAAACAGGGATGGGTATCCATTTTGAACTTTACTTTTAGTACAGTTTATTTCTCTTTTAGGGTTTGTTTACATTGCCAATCTGAAGAATATCCTTTCTGTCTCTTCTTGATTCGTGAGCCACTGAAATGGAAATGGCAGTGGATGGACCAAGGGTGACTGTGTGGCTGCCTTCAGGATGATGTTAGGGAGGTTCTGGGCCTGCGCCCTCAGTTCATCTCAAACAGATGTCACACCACGAGGGATGATTAGCCTCCCGGGCTCTAGAACATTCCGAAACAACAAAAGGGTAAATTGTGACACATCAGAAAATAAAAGGCAGGCACGTTGGTGAGGCACACTCCCAGCCAGTGGGACAGACCAGCTGGCCTGGCTAATCGATGAGAGATGCTATTTGAGTTGTCAGTTCAGTTGCCAGGCCTCACATCTGTAGCTTGGGATGTGCCCACTTGTCTCTGAGATCTGCATCTGCTCCTGGAGCTCATTCAAAGGGAACGGCTCTTAGAATCAAGGTCCACTGTGGAAAAAGACGGCTTTTAATCTGCCCAGCAGGAGGCTTCTCCTTGGGTGCCATCTCTGGACCTGGAACCTGAAAGGATGGTTTCTTGGGCCCCAGGCCCTCTGCGGAACATTAAAGAAAGACCTGTGTTTTGCTTGGGGGCTTCTATGTGGCTTGTCTGGAGCAGGTGGAGGAGGATAAGGATGGGATGATGGCATGGGCCAGGCTTTAAATGACATCAAAGGAATTTCATTCCTGAGGCTTCACTCGGGAAATTTAAACTGACTCCAAATCTTTTTTTTTAGGTAGATTCTTCCAGCTCATGTGTTGTTGTTTTTTTTTTTTTTTTGTTTTTTTTTTTTTTACAAATAGTTTATTGTCAAATTAGTTTCCACATAACACCCAGTGCTCATCCCCACAAGTGCCCAGCTCATGTGTTCTTTTTGGTTGTGCCTATAATGTTTTTATGTATTGTTAGTGACTTACTCTGAAATCAGGTTACTGATTTCAGCTTCGTAGCTGATATCAGTCGGTTCAGTGCGGAAGCAGAAACAGAAACGTCTTTTAACTGAGGTGCTGCTAACTGCCATATTAAATAAACTGCAGGGCCTTAGAGACTTACCACAATAGCAGAGTTTTTTTTTTTTTTCTCCCTTATTCAGTGGCTGCTACTTTCACCATTTTGTTCTTGGTCATGGTGTCTATAACATCTTTCCCCCACCTCAAAGACTGGTGCTGATTTTGCCTAGTGCCATCATGATGGCCAAGAGCTTCTCTTCCAAACAGTGATGCAGGGACCCAGTCTCATTCTATTCCGTCCTGTGGCTCCACTGTCTCCACATGTAGCTTTCAAGGTCATTGTGCTTGTCTGCATTAGGCAAGTAGAAGGGAGAAGGGTCTGGAGGCTTTGAGGTGTTGGCTGTTTAGCTCAGATCTGAAAGTGGTGTCCAACTGTGATGGATTGTGATGGGTCCCAGTCCATTAACAAAGGGTCACACCTAATCTTAAGGAAGGCCAGGAGACATACAGTCTAGTTGGGTACACAGGAGAAAAGAAAATGCACTGGGAAACAGCCAGACAGTCTGCTTCACCACTCTAGGTATTGCAAAAAGCATGTAACATAGAGAAGTAAATGCTTACAAAAGCCCTGGAAAGCCTGGAGGCATGACAACTAGAGGCTGTCATTTAACATTTGGCTTTGAGGTCACATCTTTTGTCAACTGCCCCTACCTCTGGTGTCATCCTTGCACCCTCCGAAGTGGGACCAGCCATCGGCACGTGGAGCCCATTTGCTGCCAACCCTCACCTCTGCTGGTGCCCACTTACCCACGAGCCCACTTGCAAAGCCTTCCACCTTCCAAAGCTCATGCAAGTGGGTCTTGTTCACTGAACCTGCACGAACCCAGAAATGTACCTATACTGGAGACTGGGAGATGTGGTTTCAATCTTCCTTTCCCTGGGATAAAGGGAAGATGATAGAAGTTGGAATTGATACCAGTGCCTATAGACTATCTCCGGCACAGCAGCCTTGTTCGGTGACCACTGCTTTCACCATTCTTGCTGTTCCCATTTTGCCTCTGGTCACTGCTTTTTTTTTTTTTTTTTTTTTTTTTTAGCATGTCCTTCATCATCTCCTGGTCATTCATCACTATTTTTTT